TCACCACATTTACGAAGGAGGCCCCAGAACACAGGAACGTCCGCAGCCCCTCCTGCGCCGCTGTGGGTGAGCGGAGTCACATGGTGGGCATGGCAGGTGTGCTGGTGCTCTCTCTGCACCTGCTGTGGCTCTCACTCCCACCCCCACCAGCGCCCCTGGGTTCCGGACACGCGCAGTCTGGATGAGAGTCGGAGGGTGTCTCCAAGGGACCCTGCCTCCCGTTACGACCGCAGAGCCTTCTAAGATATCTGAGCTCCCAAGTGTCTGAAATAAGAGAAAACAAACCCGAGGACCCAGTGTCCCTGAGGGCCCGGGACTGCGTACGCTCACTCTTCCCAGGCGCCCCTCCCAACTTCTTTCCCCAGAGAATGTCTGCCTGTTCCAGAACTGCATAGAAATGAAATTACTTCCCCCGTGTTCTTCTATGCCTAGATTTTTTCTCACCATAATGTTTTAGAGTTTCATCCATATATTTTAATCCCTCGTTGTTGTTACTGCTGATAGTATCCCTCATATAAATGTAATGCAATTCACATATCCAGTCTTCTGCTGATGGGCATGCAGGGTGTTTCTAATTTTGAGCAGTAATGAATGAAATCTCTCTGAACGTTCTTGCACAAATCTTTTTTTTGAACACGTATATTTCATTTATCTCGAGTAAATACCTAGAAGCGTAACTGGTGTATGTGTAACAGCCGAAATATCTTCCAAGGTGACTATCCCGGGAAGAGGGCTGTGCGTCCCGGCCTCCCTGTGTCTCCACTGACTCTTAGCCACAGTCCTGAGTCTTAGCCATTCCAGTGGGTGTCCTGACACACGTTTATGGTTTTAATCTGCATTTCCCCCAATGTGCAGTGATGTTGAGCACTCTGGGGTAGGCTTACTGGCTTCTGATACTGTCTTCTGTCAAGTTTCTGGTCAAGTATTTTGCTCATTTTTTTTAATTTGGATTTTTTTCCCTTTATTTTTTAAATTTGGATTTTTTCCCTTTATTATTAAGTTGAAAGAGTTCTCATATTCTGGATACAAATCAGGCGTCTGGATTATAAATCTACTATCCCAACCTATGTCCTGCTTTTTGTTTTCTTAACAGTGTATTTCAGTTCTGAAATTTTTAATTTTGATGAAAACTAATTTTTTTTCTTCTATGATTAGTGGTTTCTGTGTCCTAAGAAATCTGCCTATATGAGGACCGTGACAGTGATCTGTATTTTCTTCCACAAGTTTTAGTTATAGCTTTTACATTTGGGTTTATGGCCCAGTTTGTGCTAATCTCTATGTATGGTATGAGGCAGAGCTCAGAATTCATTCTTTCCAACCTGGTATACCATTTCTTCAGCTCTCATTGTTAATAAGACTTTCTTTCACCACACTGAATTACTTTGAGATCTTTGTGGAAAATCAGTTGATCTTACAGGTACAATTCTATTCCTGAAGCTCTGTTCTGCCCTCCTGGCCTATCTGTCTTTACAGCACTAAAATCGTATTTGTTCTTTATTATCAACATTCTCCATGAACGTGACCTCATACGGTTCCAGGTTCCACCCTCTGAAAGTCCTTTCCATGTGCTCTGAAAATACATGAAACCACATGACTTCCACGGGGCCATAGGCCTTCATTTTGCAATGAGTGTTAAGTTATAACGCAAGTGTCCTGCATCATTTCGAGAAATGCATTAGGAACGGCATGCTGCTGCTGTGTGGCAAACGGTGACTGGGCTCCCCTGGGAGGGGCCTTGGCTGGAGGGCGGTACCAGGCACAGTCCAGCATCACAGCCGGTGCAGGGCTGCTCTCGGCTCCCTTCCCGGCCGGTTTGCATCAGATACTCTGCGAGCAGGGCCCAGCAGCCCCCTCTAGGTACTTTCCCTATGGAAAACACCTCCTTCTTCCAGACTTTACACGGCGGGTGGGGAGTTCTGCGAGCCAGCCTCTCTTGGCGTACACAAGATGTCCGGAATTGGGTACAACGAGAGCACAGCCTCCATTTTCATCAGATCTCATGACTGTGGTCAACACAGACAGCAGACTGAGGTGGATGTCTGAGCTCAGCTCCAACAGGACCACCCCGACAAAGTGGGTCCAGGAAACAGCCACAAAGAAAGGCATTGACACCAAATCATTTTCATTGCAATTTTTCTAAATAAGACAGAAGTCCCTGCCGTCTTTCCCAGTGACACATGGAAGCCACAGCCTTCCCACTCTCAGGGACCACCCTTTCTCGCACAGAGGCAATGACGTGGGCTCCCCGGCAAACAGGTCAGCAGGTGCCCTGTTTTGTTCGGGTTAGTGTGTTTGAGCCGGGAATCTAAAATCCACTACCCCGGAGGAGTGGACAGGACATCAAAGAGGTAGGGTTACTACAGAATACTGGACGTCCAGTCAAATTTGAATTATTAAATTGTTGTAAAACACACATAACATAGAAGTTGCTGTATTAACCATTCTTAAGCATATAATTTGGCGGCATTAAATACGTATACATGGTAATGCAACATCACCACCACCCATCTCCAGAACTTTCTCATTTTCTCAGACTGAATCTCTGTCCCCACTAGACACTGCTCCCCCATCCCCCACCACTGTACTGTCTCTGGATCTGACTCCTCAAAGAACCTCAAATAAGTGGGTCCTATGGTATTGGTCTTTCTGTGGCTGGTTTGTTTCACTCAGCATAATGGCCTCAAGGTTCATCCATGTTGTAGCTCCTCACAGAGTCGCCTCCCTTTTTAAGGATGAATAATGTTCCATTGTGTGTCTTCACTCCATTGTCTTGTCTACTCTCCTGTCAGTGGACGTGTGGCTCTTTCCACCATTTAGCTGTTGTGAATAGTGCTTCCGGGAACACAGGGGTACAGATACCTCTTTGAGACACTGCTTTCTATTCCTTTGGGAGTAGACCCACACGTGAACTCGCTGGTGTCACACGGAGACTGTGCCGTTTCTCGCTCCCATCGGTGTTCAAGGCTCTGACTCCACATCCTCACCAACGCCTGTTGCCTCCTAGCTGGCTTTTGTATGGGAGCAATTCTGACAGGTGTGAGGTGGTGTCTCATCGTGGTTTTGATTTGCAAACGCAGATGATAAGCAACATTAAGCATCTTTTACGTGTCTGCTGGCATCTGGACATCTTTGGAGAAGTGTCCATTTAAGCCCTTGGCCTTAAATTTGGATTTCAGATAAACTGAGTAATTTTTTGGTATATGCATGCCACACACAATGCTGAACATTTATATATACTAAGTATCTGCTGTTTATCTGAAACTCAGTTTTAACTCTTAGGGTCTTGTGATTTTATTTTATAAATCTGCAACCTTAGACAGCAACAACTCTAAGGATCTAAAACAATCTTTAAATATTTCACAATTTTGCTAAGGTGAGCTCTGAAATGGTGTAGTGTGTTTTTGTGGGTGTTTGGCTGGTAGCCCTGCTTTATTAGAAAAATGTAATTTCATTTTGAGACTCTCCAGACTAAATCATTTTGAGCTTCACACTCTTTGTGTAACATTATTGGGCGCCCTTAATGAAATTATAACTCAAGCAAAAGATTTCATTCCCTCTTAGTAAATTAGCCTGGGCCGTGAGGGTTGGGAGAGCCAGTCCGTCCCTGGCCTACTCTACTCATTCTGGAGAATGAAGAAAGAGCAGGCATTTTATATTTGAGTTATTTATTGTTCTCTCTGAGTGAACATTACATTGCTGCCCGTCCCCACTGGAAACAACAGCTGTTAACAGGCTCCTGAATGAATTTCAATGTGAAGACCTGTGGCCTCTGGGAAGCTTGGGTAAAGAGAAAACAGGCTCAGAATTGAAAGAAAAAGAGCACGTTTCAGGCCTGGGTCTGAATGCCTGAAGGCTAACTGCAGATAAAAATGCTAGCTGAGGCTGTCATGTGAAGTCACACTTAGAATAGTGCCCGAAAGGGAGCCCCGCATGTCACCAGCCCCCCTTCCCGTGGACAGAAGCGGCGGGACCCACGGAAAGCCCTGCCTTCGGTGCCATCGGATTCCCGGAACGGGGACGTGTCCCCGTAGCAAAGTAGCTCAACCCTGCGGGCCAGGCCCGGGCACGGGGACCATCCAGAACAGTGGGAAGGGGGCCCTGGAGACACAGGTGTCCGAGGGGAACCCGGGGTGCACTTGCCTCTGCCCCCAAGTGGGCTCCCCTGTGAATGAGCACGCAGCTCCAGAGCCTGGACATAGTCGGTGGCGTCTCTACAACACGGAGCTTTTCCTCTGGCCCCTGTATGAGTCCGTCTGTCGAGCCTCCTGTCTGTGCTCCCCCCACAACCGCCTCTCTGCTTAAGAGACGCAGCGCTGAGCCCGTGGGAAAACACGTCCCGTCGGCCACGCGCGGCACCTCCCCGGGCCAGCTGCCCACCCCGCTGTCAGGAGCCCGAATGTGGGATGATGTCCTCACTGCCCACCCTGGGGTGCAGGCGCAGGGCCCTCCCGCAGGCTCCTCTCCCAGACGACACCCTTCCTCCCTCACCTGCTGCCCCTCAGCCGGACGGCCCGTCTGTCCTTGTCCGCGCACGTCCAGCCCACACGGCAGGTTCTCTGCTAACAGGGAAGAAAAGTCTTGCCCTGATTTGCACGATTCTAGCTTAACTGTGGCATTTTTTTCTGTACTTGCTTTACTTCCTCCCTGTGAAGCGCCCTTGGCCTGAGCTCTGCCCCACCCAGCACGCCGGGAGCCCACACGAGGTTGTCGCCCTGGAGACGGCCGTTTCAAGTTTTGAGGGACAGAGAACAAGAGGAGGGGAGATGCCAAAAATGAGGAAAGAAAGATGGAAATCATAAAGTTTAAAATTGAATGAAGAGAGGAGTCTGATAAAAATGCTGTCAGAAATTCAATAAAAGACTGAACCAGAATGAAGTGGCTGAAGCCAAAACGAGCTTTCCACCTCCCTGTCCAAACCCTCAGTAATAAGAACTTGGGAGAGCACTGAGTTTTTCTGAAACTCGATGTCAAAAGTGCATTTCCTGTTCTTTTCTTTCCAGACAAAGTAAGCATGTTGTCAGCCTTCATCGCTCCCTTCAAGCACTTAGGCCCCGGGGCCACCAACACGGCGGACGAAGACAATCTAAGTAAGCACTTTCCCCTCCTGAAGGGGGGGCCCAGCCCCGTGTGCTGAGGGCGCGTCCTCTACTGCCCCCAAATGCAGGGTCCTTAGGGTGATGGGTGGGGGACGGTGTGGGTTTCCCAGAGCAGGAGGCTCCGCCCAGTCCCCACCCCGAAGAGGAAGGGGAGGAGGGGAGGAAGGAAGGGGAGGGAGGGAGATGAATGCAGTTTGAACGATTATTCAACAAGGAAAGAGCTGGGTGTTTGCCTGCCTGTTCAGACAACAGTTCTGGCTCTTGGAGGAAACCAGACACGAAAGCAGTGTGCTGTGGGGACCAAAGAGCTGCTTGGGGGAGCGGGGGATCTGAACAGTTCCCCTGCTGAGACCGCTTAGGGGCCCAGGGGAGGCAGGGCTGGTGCACGGGTGCCCCAGGCGTGCCTGGCACATGCGGTCTGTTTTTGGCACGCAGTCAACCATCCACACGAGGGGATGACACATCCTGGTCCACGCAGATACCTCCTGCATTTCAATGCTACCTGACAGACGGGTCACCCTTTCAGCCAAGAGTGAAGGGCATGCGTACTGCCCACGGTGGGGAGGGGCGGGCCACACAGGAGTCCCAGCCGGGAAGACGAAAATCACGTCCGCACAGGGCCCCTCCCAGGACACGGGACCGTCAACGGGCCTGGAGGCTGAGGTCACTGCGTTATCCCATGGAAACTATGTGCGTCGGAACCAGAGCAGACCTCGGCTGCCGGAAGTGGATGGTGCAGCATGAGGAGGAGGGTGCAGGAAATCAGAACACAGGTCCCTGAACCATCGGGCAAAGCACGTGTGCCCGAGGGAAAGTCTGACAAATGCTGGGTTCTCCTCTCGGTGTCTAAATGGGAAAATTTCTGGGATTCGGTCAGTTTACCGATAACAGCTTCAGAAACGTGGAACACACACCAGCGTGTGTACATGTCCACGGAAGCGTATCGTAAGCAGCACGCACACGTGCCCCTCACTGGACAAGTGGACAAAGCTATCTGAGAAGGCACGTGGAATAACTGAGCTGAGAAAGAGAATCTTCCTCTGCTTCCTCTTCTTTCCCACCTCGAGGGGCTGGGACCCCGTGCGTCTACTTGGAGCCCGTGTGGACACGACCTCGTGCTCTGGAACTGCGCCCCCCCCCCATGAGCCTGGGCCACCAGACCCACACCTGAGAGCCCCAGCGCCTCGTTTGCGGGGCGGGGAAGGGACCGTAACCCGGATCACGGAGCGGAGCTTGTACCACACAGGACAACGCGTGGACACGTGTAGCAGGACCTGGGACGGAGCACGTGCACACACCGGCTAACAGAGCACTGACGGCAATTTCCCCTAATTCAGCTCACTGGTGAACAGGTGGAAACCTACGGAGAAGAAGGATTTTTCACTGTTTGCTGCATGTTGAAAGGCCTTGCCAATGCTCGGAGAAACATTTGCTGGCCGTGGAGTGCTCACTGCCTTTGCCGCACACGCCGCTGATTTACTAAGAAACTGCTACGCACAGACACCGTCCACAGAGAAACCTGAGCAACGCCCTTGTCCTCGCGCCTCCGGTTCGGCTGACACAGGCTGGGCGGTTTGTAACCCCACCGCCGCTGGAAGGCAGGAGAGGAGCCAGTGGCTGCTCCCAACTGTCTGTGGGGGGAAGTTGGACGCGTGTGGTGTGTGCGTGCACGCGCCTGTACAGGGAGAGAGGGTGGAGTGGTAGCAAGTATGAATCTGCTCTGAAGTCTCCTGTTTTCAGGCCGCATGGCTCTGGTTTGCGTGGGCCGGTGGTGCACAAAGGTGCTTGGCCTGCCGCACACGTGCAGTCACGTCAGGGACCGTGGGGCAGGGCCCCCCGTGTGGCCAGTGGCACTCACCTCCACTCGTCCCGTGAGCTGGAGTTCCCAGTGCCAAGGGCAAAGCTGGGGTACAGGCTCGGTGACCAGAGACCCTCAGCCTGAAGGAAGATGGTGGCTGGGAGCCCATCTGGAAGCCGTCAGCGGGGCTGGGTTTCTGCCACAAGTCTCCCGGACGACGCCACGTTCTGAGACGTGATTTACGCAGGCAGCTCCAAAACGTTTCTTCCGCGAACGCTGGCCCCATGACCTCAGTGCCTACCACTGACCCAGGTCACACGAGGCAGGACAGCGATGCCCACGCCTGGGGTGCTCCCTGCACTGGGTCTGGAGGGAGGGAGACTCCCCCCGCTGCACCTGCTGCACCCTCCCCCAGATGTGCAGCAGGCACAGCGCCCAGAACTGCGTGTGACAGGTCCTCGGAAGGAGGACCCCTCAGCCTGCTGCCGAGCCAGATCCGGGAGCCGCCAGGTCAGGCCTGTGCTACTGCAACCTCAGGCAGCCGTCTGTTTGAGGGTCTATGTTGAGCTGTCTATGACCCGTCTGTTTGAGGGGTTCCGAGCATACAACAGATGCACTTTCAGAAACGAACTGTTTTTGTCGTACAATAAGCATCCTAGAGCCACGTCCTGCCCCCTGGAAGCCTGGGAGAGTCCTGGCGACTGTCATCCCTCATGTGGCCGTGACCTGTCACCAGTCAGAGAGCCCACGGCGTTTACAGATCACGTGGAAAGTCTTGGTGTCTTGTCCCCCTGGACCCTCACAAAAGCCCCGCCGTGGCAGGTTCTGTTTGAGCACTGCTCAGCCTCCAGCCCAGGTGCAGAGCCCCACCTGCCCTTCCTCCCATCTCCAGAGACAGCGGGGCCAGTGTTCACACCGTCTGCAAGGCCTGGGGTCAGCTCCCTGAGAGATGGCCAAGTCTGAACCAGCGAAAAATGCACACGTGGAGGGTCAGTGCGGAACGTGAGCTCCCGGACAGCTCAGGGACAACAGGAGCCTGTTGCCCACATCGAGGTGCCCCAGTTGTGCTGGGGACATGCCTACAGGGCGACTCCCCAGGGCAGCCAGGCCAGGAGCGGAGACCAGGCCCTGCTCTGCTCAGACGAGGAGAATCCGCGATATCCACACACCTCAGGGGTGACCACAGGGCCGAGAAGCGGAAGACTGTGCTAGGATGGAGCCCTGGGTGCTTGGGCCCTGTGGTGCCCAGACCCAAGGGCGTGTATGCAGGGACGGGCACCGGCAGCTGGTCCCAGGAGTGAGAGCCTTCTCGGCGTCCTGACTTTTCTCTCTGGGTCATTCTGATAACAGAGTACGGGAAACCCACTAACCATGATGGAGAAAAGAATGAGAACCATCTCCTGGATGTGGGTCGGGGCAGGGGGGGCGGGGGGGTGAGGGGATCGGATTGCAGTGCGTTTAGTACCGTCTGTGCCGAGGAAGGAGACGTGAACGTATGAAACCAGAACTGGAGCCCAGTGAGAAACTGTCACGGCCTCGCTGTGGCAAGTCCCCGCAGGGACCCGGCAAGACGGCAAGGGTTTCCAGAAGAGGCTCGTGGGTCCGAGTGGCGCTGCGGCTGCAGGTCCCCGTCCATCCCTCCTTTGTGTGGGACAGGTGTCCTTTCATCTCTTCCCCGGGACCGAGCACCCAAACGACACAGGCTACTTTGTCCTCCATATTATGTCTAGGGCCCGGAAGGTTGCTGATGCTCAGCAGGGTCTGGTAAGAGTTTGCCTGGCCAACCATGAAGGAGAGACACAGGAGCCACTGTGTCGCATTGTGGGGACCACGGCCTCGGTGACAGGGTGGATGTCTTCAGGCCTGGCCTCAGGAGCCCCCGGCGCACCATGACAGAAGGGAGGCTGTTCCCAGCTTCCCGGCAGCCCTGGAATTCCAGGGAAAAGTCATGCTCAAGAGCTCAGGGGTGTGTGTCTCGGTCTTTCCTGCTATTTTCTAACAACTGCGTGATACTAGTTCCTGTATGTCAGGGTTTGGCCTGAGCCTCCTTCACACTCTCCTCTGGTTCAACCTCAGAATAAGCCCGTAAGGCGAGCGCTGTCAAAGCCACGAAAACGGAGTCCAGGCAGGTACAGGGATGTGCCCCTACTCACACGCATCAGAAGGGCTGGGAGACTTTGACATCTCATGAGCGTGAGCCCAGAGCCGCAGAGGGGCCGCTGCCCCACCCCCTGCCCCTGCGCAGGCTCCAAGTCCAAGGGCAGCTGGCCGTGTAGAACAGAGCTAAACCCCCACCTGGCTCATTTGCAAAACCCAGACATTATAGCTGGTGTGTCTGGGACGGGACCCAGAGGCCCACATTTTTCACCAGTTTTTATTAGTTATTGGTTATGACGGAAGGGGTCTTCATGCCACAATCTGACAGCAGTGGCTTCTGCCATGGACGACGGTGACACTGGCGGCCGCAGGGCCTTGTGAGTCAGGAAGGAGAAAGGTGGAGAAGCAATTTCAGGGCAGGTGGAGGGAAATGTCGGTCTGCCTGGGCTGTTTCTCCAAGATAAACCTTTTTACCTCAGAAGGCAGCAGAGGTCATCTGATACGCTGGCTGCTCCCCTCACACCTTGTGGGAAATCAATAATACATTAGAGGACTCCCAGCAATTTTCTACGCAATCTGCAGTGGGGCTTTTTGGTTGGGTTGGGAGGTTTTTTTTCCCCCCATCTTTATGTTCAGTTTGAGAAACTGCATGGTTAATCTGTTCGGTTTCCTGGCCCCAAATGCCCCAAAATGGGCAGAGCTCTTTGCCGCCTGTCTGTCCCCAAGATGCACGATCAACAAGAAGAGTAGAGATTAAGTGCTTGATATTTGGAAGGTAATTATTTCCACCAAAATAGACTGTAAATACCACCCACCTCTAATTCAAAAAAACCCTCAGCATCACTCCTTTGAACCAAGTTACCTGCGCAGACCTCGCAGCTCATAGCAGCAAACAACTACAGGAAAGGCTATACGCGCACAGGCTGGCTGGGGAGCACTCTGGAGGGGGCCTACGTGCTGCCACCCCCTCCCCGAGAGGCTGCACTGCTCTGCTGTCTTCCCCGCCAGTGACGCCTCGAGGCCAAGGTCACGGAGCCTACTGCTCTCCTTCCACGGCAGGACTGAGGGGAGCCTGCTGGGCGTCTGGGCGTGAGCCGGCTGTAAATATGCCTCCACATCTCCGCGTGCTTAATGAGAAAAAACCCACTCCTGACTCCCAGGGAAGGCTTCAAGGACCCTGCGGCCCCAGCGTCTGTCCAAACTGATGGCGACGGTACTCCCTCACCGTCTCCTGGAGAGTCCAGCACAGGCGCCCCTGTGAGGTGGCCGAGAAAATGACGGGTCGGTTCTGCTTCCGGAAAACCACCCGTACAACAGACAGATGTTCCCAGGACCCACTCACATCTCCACCGATGACCCCAGGGCAAGAGTTCCCCTCTTTGAGGCTCGATTCTTCTAGAAAGTGGTGCTATGACCCCCACCCTGTGGGGATTTATTTTTATTTTAGGAATAAGAAAGGCAGCAAGGAGAAGGTGTGAGGGGGCCTCGGCGGAAGGTAGCTGCACAGCTCACCACCACCATCCCATGAGGATCTCAGAGGAGACCTGAGGGGTCTGCGCCCGAGAAGCACATTTGTCCCTGAAGCAGTGGGGACCTCGTCCTGTGGTCCCGAAGTGACACAGGTCCCACACGAAACAGCTGTCCAGGCTGAGAGGGATCCAGTCCACAGAAGCTAAATCACCATGATACTCATCCACCACCCACAGTTAGCAAAGGATGGCTTTGCTAAGTTCACTTCCTACCATTTCCTGCAAGGAAAGAAAGGAAGGAAGGAAGGGAGAGAAAAAGAGAAAAGAACACACCACAGACACAAAGGAAGCCACCCTCCAAGCCCACGTCTATTTTCTTCCTCTTCTCTCAGGGGGAAGGTGCGAAGTCTCTAAACTTTACCCATACATGTGATTTTACAAACAGTGTATAATGAGTGACTCTGTATAAACTAGTGATACCTTTCTCTACACATTAGTTTTCATCCTCTGATACATTTCAGAGAGTCACCTACGCTGACGCATACAGATGTAGTTGATTAAATGCAAGTGCCATGTGGCGTGGCTTCTATTGAATGAGGCTCCAGAATCCACCCACCACTGCCCTGGGCAGGAAAGGCCGCCCTGACCCTCAGCATCGCCCAAAGCCCGTAGGAGGAAAGGGCCACCTGTCTGATTGATTTGGGGCGGCCTGGGGAGACGGCCGTGGTGCCCAGGCCCAGAGCAACAGATGTCAATGGGCCCCGCGCCCCCTCCCCCCCTCCCCCAGCCATCACCTCCTTCTCAGAAATGCATCTCTGCGAGAAATGCCGGGGAACACGGGCCCTTCCACCCACAGCGAGTGGCCCCCACTCCCACACGACTACTCCGGGCCCCGGCCGGCGAGAGCCCCACCCCCCGAGTGTGCATCCCCGGCTGGCGGGCGGGCTCACATGTGCAGGCTGTGCAGCCGCAGCAGCAGGAACAGCGGCATCGGTGGCGAGCTGCCAGGGCCCTGGGTCACGGCTGTCTTTCTCGCCCACAGGTACCAGCAGCGCAGACGTGAAGGAAAACCGCAACGTGAGCAACTGGGAGGCGAGGCCCCTGGCCACCAGTGACCGGGCCCGAGGCAGAGCCCCGGGCGTGAAGCGCAAGAGGCCGCTGGAGGAGGGCAACGGCGGGCACCTGTGCCCCCTGCAGCTCGTCTGGAAGCAGCTCTCGTGGTCCGTGGCCCCCAAGAACGCGCTGGTGCAGCTGCACGAGCTGCGCCCGGGCCTGCAGTACCGCATGGTGTCCCAGACGGGCCCCGTGCACGCCCCGGTCTTCGCCGTGGCCGTGGACGTCAACGGGCTCACCTTCGAGGGCACCGGGCCCACCAAGAAGAAGGCCAAGATGCGGGCGGCCGAGCTGGCACTGCGGTCCTTCGTGCAGTTCCCCAACGCCTGCCAGGCCCACCTGGCCCTGGGCACCGGCGCCGGCCCGTCCACGGACTTCACCTCTGACCAGGCCGACTTCCCCGACACGCTGTTCAAGGAGTTCGAGCCTGCCGCCCCCAGCGCGGCCTTCCCCAGCCGCCGCCCCGCCGATCCAGGGCTGCTGCCCGCGGCACGCCCTCGGGGGCGGCTGCTCTGCCACCCGCTGGACCTGGTGGGCCCCGCGGCCCCGGGCGACAGGAACCCCGTGGTTGTGCTGAACGAGCTGCGCTCCGGCCTGCGCTATGTGTGCCTCGCCGAGCCGGCGGAGAGGCAGCGCGCCAAGAGCTTCGTCATGGCCGTGTGCGTGGACGGCAGGACGTTCGAGGGCTCGGGACGCAGCAAGAAGCTGGCCAAGGGCCAGGCGGCGCAGGCCGCGCTCCAGGCCCTCTTCGACATCCAGCTGCCGGGCCACGTCCCCAGCAGGAGCAGAAGTCACCTCCTGCCCCAGGTGAGCCGCGCAGGGCCGCCACGGGTGGCCCTCTGCAGACGCCCGCAGGAGGCGTGGTGGGCGCAGGGCCCTCTGCTCCCACCACTGCGGGTAGACGGCCCACCACCGCCTCCCAGAAGAGCCAGGCTCTGCCCCGCGCCCTCATCATTAGGAGCGACCTGCAGGCGTTTGTAAAGAGCGAGTCTTGTGAGTGTGAAAAGAGAGTGTCCATACCCCGAGGTAGCAGATCATCCTCGAGATGGCCACACCCACCGCAAGGGGGCGGGCTCCTCCCTGGGGAGAGGGTAGCGGCAGAGAGCGAGTGTGAAAAGTGTGCCGGGCGGCCGTCGAGGGGGTGGGGGGGTGGGGTCCTCCAGCTGGAGGCCTGGGGAAATCCCCATGAACGTGGCTCATCTCACCCAGGTGAAGCCAGTTGGGGGCCCTCAGCCGGGCCAGACAGAAGGGCAGGGTCCAAGGCCATGGGCTGGCGGGAAGCAGAGAGCTCACAGACGGAGAGGGGGCTGGAGCCCACGTCGCGGTCATGACCTTGCTGTTCCAGTAACACTGGGCCAGCCTGTTCGCTGGGGGAATGTTTTGTGTCACCATAGTGTGTCGGGAACTGTCTGTGATTTTGTAACAAGTGCTTATTTATGCAAATCACCCTCCTGTCACTCTGGGAATGTCTTGTGGGCGTCGTGTGTGAGACACATGACGGTGTCTGTATTGACTTTCGCCATCAACAGAGGACAGACGCGCTTCACGCAGAGGCCAGTGTGGGAGCAGAGTGGGCCCCGTGTAACTGAGTTACCACTGTGACCACCGTGCCCCCCATCACAGCACCCAGAACAAAGTCCGCCCCAGGGACCAGGCGTGTGCTCCCCAGGGAGCACCAGGGGCCTTATGGCCATCTCAGCAAATGGCTCCAGAGAAGACCCTGGAGCAGAGTCACACTGGGGGCAGGTATTCACTCACTCGTTCACTCACTCACTTATTCAATCACTCGTTCACTCGTTCGCTCGCTCACTCGTCAGTCTTTGACCCTTAGTGGCTGCAGAGCTCACGAGGGCAAAGCCGGCTGTGGCCTGCCCCCCACAGCAGGTGGAGAGATGGAGGGGATGGCTGAGCGAGGCCTTCCTTTTCTCTGCTATCTCGGCCCCGGCTCCACCGTGTTTTCTCAAATACGTGCTGCAGGCTGTAAGAGGCGGGTCGGAGGGGTTTAGACTGAAATCACCAGCCTTGCCTCGCAACCCACTATCAAGTACCACCGCGTCCAAGTGAACATGGTGTTTACAAAGCAGCTGGCTCAGTCCGCGTGAGCCCCGCACATCTCGGAGGGAGGGGCTGCAGCACTGCCCCCTCTCCTCCCGCACCCCTGCAGGGTTTGTGCTCTTTGTTCCTTCCTGTCCTGTGTCTCCACTCTTGTAACTTAAACGTGGCAACAGCACCCAAGGAAGCCGCCGTGCCCTCTGCGGCCTGCATGAGCCCCAGGCTGCCGTGACCTTGGCCATGGCCTGTGTCCCCGGCCATCTTCTCCCAGGAGGTTCCCCACCCCAGGCCTCTGCAAGCCCCCACCGGCCTGGACCTTCTGCCTGTCCCACCTCCCTCTGCCGCCGCATCAGCCCCGCTGAAGGTTGAAGGGTGTCAGTGAGCTCTGGCCGCAACACCATCTCCTTCCATGTTGTCAACCCCGAGCGCTCACAGAGGACCAGGCAGCACCACTGCTTTGTAACAGTCATTTGACCCCAGAATGCGGCATATCAGTTAAAGCCACGGCCGCTAAATTATTTTTCTCTGACAGTCCGCTAACCACCCGACTGGATGATGGAGGGCACAGAGCAGCGTGAGGGTTGCGGGCCATCCATCACACCCCAGGCACGGCCGTCTCAGAGGCTCATTACCCGGTTGCCTCGCCCCTGCACACAGGCTGGGTGGGGCTGAGCCGGCCTGGGGACTCAGGACCAGTCACCATCAGTGGTTTTATTACATCCCAATCGTGTCTTGGATGTGGACTGGATTCAGGGATGGGTCTTTAATTCAGAAAAGATCCCAAGAATCCCCGTAAGTCCTGTTCTGCCCGACGCTGTCCATATAGCCTGCGTCCCCCAGGTCCCCGAAGGCACAACCTTCTGTCTGCTAACTGTGCCGTTAGCACCCGCACCAGGAGAGCAAGCCGGCAGTCGCAGGCCCAGCCAGACTCCTGGAAAAGGCAGGTCCCCAGACACTGAGCCGTGCAGACCCCTGCCCAAGCCCAGGACAGCCCCACTCACTGCTGGAGTGACAATTTTAGAACTGGGTGTCAACATCAGGCACTCAACGTTCCCAGCCCAAACGCAAGGTTCCGCCCCACACAGGGTGGTCTTGGGTGAGCAGATGACAAACTGAGTCCCAGAGAGTGCTGAGAACTCTGACCAGAGCTCCTGCACAGTGACACGCAGAGACAGAAAATCCAAACGTTGACAGTGCCTGGAGCCACATGAGGAGTGTGTTTAAACGGTGCCGTGGGTCCCACTGGAAACACCCATCCACCAGATGCTGGAGCTCCGACCTGGCCCCTGAAGCTCTGATTCCTGCACAGGCAGGTCGGCTCACCTGCACCGTTCCGGCCTGTTCGCGGCTCTGCTTCCCTGCCCCCACCCCACGCCTGGGGAGCAGGAGCACGCAGGACGGGCCGGGCAGGCTGGAGGTTTGCTGACCTCAAGCCAGGTCTGGACGAGCATAGCGTCCCCACGGCCCTCAGCTAAAGACCTGAGAGAGCCTGTCGGGAGCGGCCAGTGCATTGCACCGGGTACCCAAGTATGGACCTCGCTGGAGGCATGGAACATCATGTCACTGTTCCCCAGGAAGAGAAAGGGGAAAGTTGCACTTGCTTCACCTCCATTTTGAAGGAAAAAGTTCTGAAGAGCAGTGTTCTCAGTGATGATTACAATCATAGGTGTCGATTTCTCCAGGACTGGACTTCCACCCATTCCCTGTGGGGGGCATTTCGCACAACTGGGCTAGATTTGTTCCTTCACTTTAACGAGTTCTGGCTTTGGGTCTCTTATCCAGGGGGCTGAGATCAAGTGTTCAATTAAATTTTCTAGGACACAGCACAGACCTAACGGGGGGGGGGGGGGGGGGGGGGGGGTCTATAACACACACAGGAGCACGAGCTGTGTGCTCTGCCTAAATCAGTTGATAAGGGTGACCAATGCAGACCGGGGGGTAGCTGGGCCGGCCTGACTCTTCCCATTTTCCTGGCCTACAGCTGGTGCATCTTCTCAGTACAGGACTCCTCTGCGATAGAGATAGGAAGTGATAAATGAGACCGTGTCAGCACACACAGATGGTCCCCAACTTAAGATGGTTTCAATTAGCAGTGTTTAGGCAATAGCGTAAATATGATACACATTCAGTAGAAATCATTCTTTGAATTTTGAATTTGGATCTTGTCCCTGGTGAGCAGCATGTGGGAAGATCCTCCCTTGTGAATGACATGGACAATGACCGTCTTCCAAACCCACACCACCATTCTGCTCCTCCCCATGAGCGTAGAATTCAGTCCACTACGTGAGACAGTCGACAGGCTTGTCAAGCGGACGTGGTGTTGAGGACTCTGCCCAAACCCAGGCTGATCTAAGTGTTCTGAGCACGTCTACGGTAGACCCGGCTAAGCTGTGACGTTCAAGGTTAGGTGGATTAAACACAATTTTGACTTAACGATACTCTCTACTTATAATAGGTTATCAGGTCATAACCCCATCATAAGTCAAGGAGGATCTGTGAATACTCATTCCCTGGAAACATTATCATAAACAAGATAAAAATCACAAAATCTCAGGAAAGCGTTAAAGGTGGCTCCTGCCACGGAGAAGAGAATGAGCACCTGGGATGGCGCAGAGAAAGGTACAGGGGTCAGGAAATGCCCTGGGGTGGCACACACACAGTCCCTGACTTCTGCGTCAGCTTCTCCGGCACACTCAAGGACCCCCCGCCCCTTTGTTTTGTTTAGAATTTCCACATCGAACTGCAGTGATGTTAGCCGTGTGTCTTTCCCTAAGAGGAAAAGGGCTCCCGCAGGTGCACTGCTCCACTGCGCCCTCTGGGGGGCCCTTTCAGGGACCCACTAACAGGGGACCGACTAGCTACACCCTCCTCTGCTCCCGCGTATGCAGCGATCACTGTGGGGAGGGGAGAAACCATGGGAATCTATAACAATGGAAAAGAACAATTACTTTTTAAGTTTCAGCATTTTACAGCAAATTTGGCTCAGAGCTCCAGTCCGCGATCCCATTTCATGGAATCTGCCCCCAGAATTAGCTGCGGAATGCGGCCAGGGGCTCCTCAACAGCTGCGCTGCGGGACGCTAATAGCATGTTTGCACAAACGTGCCGTCCTTCTCCCAAACCCCAAGGTGACCCCCAGCCGCCTCTGGCCACTTCGCAGACTGTTTTTCTGATCTCCTGCTCCTGCTAATCTATCTTACTCAATGGGAACCGTGTCCTAACTGCTGTAATGCAGAACCGTTAATTAATATTGCCGAAACAAATTAGCGATAGAGGGGCCCTCAAATTTTAAATAGGCTTAAATTAAAACCAGATAGCTATAGAAATCATATCCACTTGGCTTTGAGACGGCTTAGCACTGTCTAGCTGGTGTAACCTGGACGCCCGGAAACAGCAGCTGGTGCCGCTCAGCTCTGGGGGACGAGGGGTGGGCCAGCCAATGCCAGCCCTGTGGTCGGCCACGGTGCAGCCTGGAACAGTTCCAGACAGACACCTGATCAAGGTCGCGGAGCTGTGCAGGTCCCCCAGACACAAAGGACCACTTCCTGACTCCAAGTGACTTCCTTGGAGTCACGTCAGCAAGGGGTCTTCTCGTTTCTGCCCCGTCTGACAGGGTCTCAGCTTCTCAGCTGTTTTCCTATTGTCTCCTGGGGAGTGGGATTGGGGTCTGATCCCCTACACGCAGGCACCGCCGGCACGGGAGACCCCAAGCGAAAGAGCTCAGCCCAGCAGCTGGCCTGGGGCTCCAGGGACTTC